CCGAGCTGATCGAGCTCACAGACAGAACAAGTAAGATTCCCGTTACAGAGACGCTGCTGAAGCGAGCAGGCCGATCTTACAGTGGGGGACATTTATTGGGTCACAGTCCTTTGACAGATATGTGTCTATATCCTCCTGAGACCCTGTGTCCTCATAAGAGGACGTTGCATTTTTGTCTCTCTTTACCATGATACTTCTTTTTTTCTTTCAGCTTTGACCTCTTGACCTCATAGCAGATGCTATCAGACACTGTTTGAAATCTAAAGTAAAATGGTTTTATACATTTCCATCCAATCATGTTCTTATTGTGCAATAGAAAAACTGTAAATGAGTCAATGGGACTGTCAGAACAAAATTGTAAAAACATTTAATTAAATATGTATCTCATATATCTTTAAAAAAAAAGCTAAAATGCATGCCAAATAAAAGCTCGGGTCTCAGGAGGTTAAGTAAGCCTCTGCAATATCCAACGATCATGAGAAAAAGGACTATTAGTATCCTCCTAGCTTTATCTTGGACTATACCTGCGTTTTGCATGAGTTGGTTTGATATTATTTTCCTGAAATTCCCAAAACAAATCTGCGGATTACCTCTTGAGGCGATCTTTTGTGATAGCCAACTTTTCAGACTTCTTTGTGTGCGCATCAAAGTCCTAGATATACTGACTCTGGTCATACTGATTAAAATGGTTCTCTCCCTGTAATTCTGATACAGTGGGGGAAATAAGTATTTGACCCCTTGCTGATTTTGCAGGTTTGCCCACTTACAAAGAATGCTTATTTTTCCTCATCAGATGGTTAGCAATTTTTATAAATACATATGATGTGATTTTCTGGAATTTTCTTTGGGATTCTGTCTTTCACTGTTAGAATGTACTTATGATTAAAGTTATAGATCGTTGCATTCTTTGTAAGTGGGCAAACCTGCAAAATCAGCAAGGGCTCAAATACTTATTTCCCCCACTGTATATAATGGGAGGACCCATTTCAAAAAGGCACCCAACTTACAAATTATTTTATTTTTTACAGACTGAAATAATGTAACCATTTTAAACATCGATGGGCTCTTCACATAATACTGTGGGAAATACTTCTCTCTGTAATGGCATATAAGTGGGCCAATCTGCAAAATCAAGAAGGGCTCAAATACTTATTTCCCCCACTGTATCTGATGCAATAACCCGCCTCCTTCTCCAGTTCCTCCTGAGATGGACCTGGATGCCTCGGTGAAGGAGAAGATCGTGGTCCACGCCGGTGCGACCATCCGCATCATCGCCTACGTGTCGGGGAAACCGGCCCCGCAGATCACCTGGTGCCGGGACGACGCCGAGGTGCCCAAAGAGGCCGTGGTGGAGACCACGGGCATCTCCAACTCCATGGTCATCAAGAACTGCCGGCGGCAGCACCAGGGCATCTACACGCTGAGCGCCAAGAACGAGGGAGGGGAGCGGAAGAAGGCCGTGATCGTGGAGGTCCTGGGTGAGTCTCGGAGGGAATACAGCTTGAATTGACTCATTGGCTGCCAAAGACGTCTATAGACGTCAATTATATTTTTCAACGAGAGTGTCCGGGGGACGATCTGCTAAAGCTAGTCCGTAAATATGGGCTTCTAGACAGAGTATGTAGTAACAAATTGAGCCTCTAGGGGGCAGTGCCACTTTTGATGGGAGATGAGCATAGACTGTAGGCAAATAAGAAAAAGGGAACGGTTCTATGAGAGAACATGTCGCCGGTGAGACGCAAGTCCAGGAAGAACGGAATAAGGTAGAAACACATTTTTTTTCTTGATGAAAGAAGAGAGTCTACTCTTTCTTTTGGTGTGTTCGGTGTTTACATAGTCATAGCACAAACTATTCTGTGGCTCTAGAAAAATCAGTCAAAATGCTCCAAAAACTCTGGCAGTATGGGACTCTGTTCTGAAAATGGCTGCCAGCCAATGAGTTAAAGCTGACATCTCTGGACACCTACAGATGGGAGCGTGGGCGGTCTGGGGTTCAGAGGGAGGACTGAACTTTCCGGGACCGGCCTGGTTTTCGGCCGCCACCCTGAAGATGTAGGTCAGCCCCTCCAGCAGCCCCTGCACGGTGTGCTCGGTGTCGGAGACGAGGTTCCTGGGGGTGACAGAGGGGGGTGAGCGTTGTGCATGGAACGTGTGTTTGGACTGATTTTGTATTTTGTGATTTTGTGTTGTTTTGTCTTCCTGCCTCAGGACTACAGATGTAAACTAGCAACTATGCTAGAATCCATCCATCCATCCATTATCAATACCGCTTATTCCCTGATGGGGTCTGGGGGGGGAACTGGAGCCTATCCCAGTGGTCAATGGCGAGAGGCAGGGTACACCCTGGACGGTCCCCAGTCCATCACAGGGACACACAGAGACACACAAGGACCAACAACCACTCACACTCACATTCACTCCTAAGGGCAATTTCCCCAATCTCCAATCAACCTAACATGCAGGTTTTTGGACTGTGGGAGGAAGCCGGAGAACCCGGAGAGAACCCACAGACACAGGAGAACATGCAGACTCCACCCAGAAAGGTCCTGGTTCCCCCGGGGTTCGAACCCAGAACCCTCTGGTCCTGGTTCCCCCGGGACTCCAACCCAGAACCCTCTGGTCCTGGTTCCCCCGGGGACTCCAACCCAGAACCCTCTGGTCCCGGTACCCCCGGGATTCGAACCCAGAACCTTCTTGCTGGGAGGCGACAGAGCTAACCACCACACCACCGTGCCGCCCCAACTATGCTAGAATCTGGCTCATTTACAATCTGTATGAGATTGTTCATTAATGTGCACTGTCCTGATTAAAGAAATAAATGAAATAAACTTTATAGGGGCGGCCGGACCAGCCTCCTGACCTGTTGACGCGCGCCCAGTGGGAGCTGTTGATCTCGCGCCGCTCCACCCAGTATCCCAGGATGGGGCTGCCGTTGTCGTTGGGCTCGTTCCAGATAACCAGCATGCTGTTGGCCGTGACGTCATCGATCTGGGGCTTCTCCGGAGCCTCGGGGGGTTCTGGGGGGGAACACGGGCGTGGGACAGGTTTAAACGGGTTCTTTCTTTGGTGGATGTAGTGGATTAATATCTCGCAATGAATATATTATCACAAATTATTAGTAGTGTGCTTTAACATATATCTAAAAGAGAAGTAGATTAACATGTATCTGGTGTATGAAAGAGGAAGAAACCATGGTTCAGAGGTCAAACCATAATAAATGCTTTGACAAGCGTGGGACAGGTTTGGACGGGTTCTTTCTTTGGTGGATGTAGTGGATTAATATCTCGCAATGAATATATTATCACAAATATAATTTCCTGAGAGAGTCTTCCCAAGGGATCAATAAAGTACTGTCTAAGTCTAAGTCTAAGTCTAAATGATTAGTAGTGTGCTTTAACATATATCTAAAAGAGAAGTGGATTAACATGTATTTGGTGTATGAAAGAGGAAGAAACCATGGTTCAGAGATCAAACCATAATAAATGTTTTGACAAGCGTGGGACAGGTTTGGACGGGTTCTTTGGTGGATGTAGTGGATTAATATCTCGCAATGAATATATCATCACAAATGATTAGTAGTGTGCTTTAACATATATCTAAAAGAGAAGTAGATTAACATGTATCTGGTGTATGAAAGAGGAAGAAACCATGGTTCAGAGGTCAAACCATAATAAATGCTTTATGAGTGCATGAGAACTGCAAACAGAACATAATAAAGGGCTAAGTAAACTTGTACCATATGGGGGTTGATGCAAACTCACATGTATCCATGGGATAAGTAAACATATAA